GACATGGTGACACAAGGAGTTTGGAAAAGTCCTTCCTCAAGGAGGAGGACCCAGACAACTGTAAACAAGAAGTGCAGACAAGGAGAAGAACCCAATTTCAGAGCAAGGCAAAAACTGAACATACAAAAATACCTAAATATGGGAAACAACATCAAAATTCAGGTTCCTGACATGAAACATGCTCCTGGACCCAGCTGATAAACTGGACCAGAGAGGAGGGCAGTTTCTGTGCCTCGAGGCAAACCAAACAGATGGGTTTCCAGTGCTCGGCCCCCGGCCCAGGCAGAACCCACCAGCTGGCAACTGCATGCAGCCCCAAAGGCAGACAAGCAGAAGCACCTACAGTTTCTCACGGCTGGGGGCTCCTGGTGTCTCTGGCAGGTCTCTGTAGAAAATGTGGACCCTAGAAACACCAAGTCCCTGACGCAGTATGCTAGGAATCCAGGCAGGGCTTTTCTGGAAAAGCTGTAGGAGTTGGGATGTTTTCCAATCAAGCACATGAAGCTCAACAAAGGACTGTTTTTCCCTTTCTGCTCAGTGATGCAGACGCCATAGCATGCAGGACTTCTGCACGAACTGCAGACAGGGTCAAAAGCAACGTGCCATGGAAAAGTAAGCTCCTTGTTGCAGGCTGGCCTGCTAGAAGATGGGAAATGGCAACCAAGCAAATTAAGGAGCCGGTGGGATTGGAGGAATGAAGAGTCTAATAAATGGGGATAACAAGGGAATTCTTGCAATACTGTGTTGCAATCAAAGGGTCAGTTTGGAAAGTCCAGCTCAGTTGCCCAGTTGGAAGAGCAAGCTGAAGGCTGAAACATGTGGTGGTTGTGAGTCTGTGGTTGGTGGGGTAAACTGAGGCACCGTCTGAAAAACAAGTGCCCCTGGACCAGGTCTGTGATGAACAATCCTCTCTCTGCTTTACGTGACACCAGCCGCCTCCTCTGCCAGCTGGTGGGTAAACAATGTGTGGGGGAGAAATCCTGACAGCATACACACGCACATGGGTGCTACTTGCTGGCAGGACTGCGTTTGGCCATGTGAGAGGTCTTACATTGCAAGATTTCATTGCAGCCCTGCCACTGTGCAAATACAGCCAACTGTAGGATGCCTTTTCAGCTAGACACTGGTGTAAGGCCCTGGAAGAAGATACTGCTACTGTTGGCATCTTTTAGATGTCCTTTGTGAAAACACTGAGACAATTTTACACCACTGTCCATTCACTGGCTGCCCCAATTATTCCATATGTCTCCATGCTCAGGACAAAGGCCGGAGCTCTTTCAGTCTGGTTACTTACCTACATTTGTAAATCTGCTACTTTTGAGCAACTTCAGGAATTTACTGTCAGTCATGCAGTTTGCTCTTAAGCAGAAGTGCTGTATTAACTTCTATCCCTCAATAAAGCCATTATTTATTCTTTTGCCTTGTATTAAAAAAGAATCTGAGCTTGTATGAATATTTCACAAACATTTCTTATCACCAGCTGTCATTAGCTCTGTTGGTTATTTCTGGGATCTCCACTGTCAGAAAGTTTTCAGTGTTTCAATACACTGTGTCTATGTGCTCAGAGCAGTACAAAAAAAGGCAGATTTATTATAAGCAGCTCACGTGTAAATCAGAAGCTGAATCTGGTAAAAGCATTAGCATGGTCAGTTTCTTAAAATCATTGAGTTGGAGAAGCCAAGAAATCCAACAGGCTGACACTATTCCAAAAACATCTTGAGCTCTCTTACTTCTTTGAAATATCCAAATAATATAAACGAGCATGAAATTCCCACTGACAGTGAAGTTCCCCGAACAGTATTCACAGCTCTGGCACCATGTGAATAATAAATGTGGTGTGGAAGAAGCCAAGAAGCAGTCAAAGTTCCTATTGTCTGTACAGAGAAATGCCATCATTTCATTGCAAGATGGCTTTAGCAGCAGGACTGTCAGT